TTAAATAGTTATTTTTATTCATACCATATACTTGGACCTTGAGAGATGTCCTTTATATACAATTTGATTGTTATATAGATATTCAAATTTATAGATAGTATTTCATCACAGATTTCGTGGGTCTAAAATACCAAGATGAATTTTTGTAAGAATTTTGCAAAAAATAGCATGGTACTTCAAGATAAAAGAAATTAAAAAAATTTAAAAATGAAATAAAGTAATAAAATTATTCTGTATGATAGAAAATGTTGAATTTTTGTAAGAAAAATTAAATAATTTCTCTGGATCAAAAGAATAACGTATGATACGAACTTTGCATGAAATTTTTAATAAGAAACAAAATCTTGGGATCACAAAGAATTTTTTTAAGAAATTCTCACCATTGAGGAAGGTAGTGTTAATGTGGATATTAAAGAGTTTTTTGTAAGAACTTGCGAAGCGACATCAATGTTGCAATTATAAGGATTTTTTATGCATTTCGCGGGATCTTTCTCAGGTGGTACAGCAAACACGAATAATTATTCATGACACATATTAATAAACGTTAAAGGATTTTTTAATCACGGGATTTCTTGTTGTGACATTTTTATATGTGGGAGAACTGCTTTGTTAAACACTGATACACGTATGGAATTGGACTACGTTATCATGTAGATCCCGATCCGCGTGATATTGGGCACGGTATCAGATCTCGTGATTAGTGAAATTAGCAATGTACGGGGGTTAATGAAGTTAGTATATACAACCGGGATGCAGCGAAACAAAGCCTCAGATTGATGCATTGTTGGGAAAGATGATCTGATATGGAGTGCACCAATAAATCCCGAATATATGAAGTGTGCCAATAAGTCACCGAATAATGAATCAAAATAAAAATGATTCATTAGTCTTGTGATGCGGGATCATGATGAGAATTGTGGGAGGATATTTGATTATAAATAAGGAGGGCTTTAGAGTAGAAAAATATAATTACAATTAAGAATTAAGTTCATTATAATTATAAAATCATTCACCATTGTAATAAAAGTTTTTATTAAATAAAATAAAGATTACTATTATTCTTAAATAAACGCATACATTCCTTCAAATCATTATTGATCTGTTCCCACACTCTCTATTAATAAAGTAGTCTATCCTAAGACTACGAATACTAAATAACGAAACTACCGACGAATTGCCTTCTTAGGCAGGAGCTAGCGCCATAACTTGGAGAACCCGATCAACTCATAAGGGGTCGGAGTATTGATCGACGAAATTATAAATTAATTAACGAAAAACTAATTGGGAAACAACCCGTGATCGTAGTCTCACGGATTACTCGGTAGATCCCCCACATTTATTCCACCGGGTAACAACACAAAGAATTTGACGTTAAATTTATCGTTATCACATAAAAAGGCAAAGTAAAAAAATTTACAATGAAGGCTGACTTCTTATTGACTTCACACTCTAATAAATTAGCAAATTTTTATGAAATGCCAAATATTGCGACATTTCGATCATTGTTGGAGATATTCAAAATACTGAGCGAATTTTTACTGCGCATTCATCAATACTAGTGGCGCAATCGGAATATTTTGCTATTGCTCTTTCTGATGCGTGAGTAAAACGAGAACCTAATAAACTGATCGTCTTTAAGAAACCAAATATTGAACCGCGTATTTTTGAAACCTTATTAAGGTAATCTTTAATGATAGTGTTTTTAAAGTTATTAAATCGCAACTAACTTCTATAATTATACATTATATAAGATATATGTACAGTGGTAAGCTCGATATGTCAGATCATGGAGTGCCAACACTTTTAGATTTATTGGTCGCTGCTGATGAATTGGTTCTTGAAGATTCGATTGAATATATTCAAGAATACCTTTTGGAGCAACATTCTGAATCTATGGTTGAAAATTTTGCTTTGATAAATCAAGCCGCTTTTCAGCATAATTCCTTTGTCAAACTCCAGGAATTCTGTATTGAGATTACGTGTAAAAATCCGGCAGCGGTTTTTCAATCTAATGATTTCGTAAATATTCAAGAAACGGTAATCATCACTTTGCTCAAACGAGATGATTTAAATCTTAAAGAAATTGAAATTTGGGAAAAGGTTATTGAGTGGGGAATCGCTAACACGTCAGCTTCTGGTAACATCGATTTATCAATGCCAGTGGATCAATGGTCACAAAACGAATTTAATCAACTCAGAACTACGCTCAAAAATTGTATACCGTTAATTCGTTTCTTTCATATAAACTCTGTTGATTTCTATAACAAAGTGTTGCCATACTCGGAAATATTATCAAAAAAGCTTTACAAAGATTTATTGCATCATTATTTGATACCTGGAAGTGAAGAACAACAAGCGTCACTTCAACCCATTCGTAATTCGCACAACTTAATATCAACAATTCTTTCTCGAAATCAAATCAATAAAATTATTCAATGGATTAAAGAACAAGATAATCAAAAAAAATATCCATTTGAATTCAATCTATTATTACGTGGCAGCCGAGATGGATTTACTGCTAGTGATTTTCACCGTTTATGTGATAATAAAGGACCAACCATTGTGGCAATACGTGTCAAATTTTCTAACAAAATTATTGGTGGTTATAATCCCATTGAATGGATGTCTCTTAATAAAAAATATTATGGTGAAGCAAAGAGCAACTTTTTATATAAATTTAATTCTGATGACATTATGGGATCCAGTGGCGTTTTAAGCAAATATAAAATCAATAACAATAATTATGCCAGTATAATTGACTTTTCATATAATGGTCCTTGCTTTGGACATGGTTATGGCTTGGGATTGTTTACTTATTCAGGTAATTATTGCGATAAAATGTCTCATGAGTTTGGTCTTTTAAGTGAACAATCTCAGAGGATATCATTTGAAATTGATGATTATGAGGTTTGTCAAATTGTAAGAAAATGAATTATGATATCATTTATTTTTCAAATAATTTTATATGCTATGTCAAAAATATTCTTTTTAATAAAATTAATATTAAATGTATTATATTAGTTTGAAATTTAGGATATGGTCCAGTGCAAAAATATAGATACACAAAAATCATTATCCAATTTTCTCTAATAATAGAAAACTTGATAATCAAGTTATGTGAGTGTACAAATAATATAAAAGGTAAAGCCAGTTTCAAACTTTAAATTGCTCACAAATTTGATCATTTTTTTATGGATGACTTAAATAGAAATCAAACTTCATTAACTGATAATGAACAAAGTATAATTTTTAATGCTCATTAATACATCCTTCGATAATAAATTTGTACAAATAGTGTTTGGTAGTGTTGTAGGTCGTATTCCTTTATAAATGTCATATACAAGATAATGATCATGATTCTGTTCACCAAATGGCCTTTCACTATAAATAAACCTCTACAAAGTTAGCGTATGTCTTTCCCATTACACCCCTGGATTTATAGGAATCATTCTGCAAATTTCTTGGATAGATTATCAGCTATATTTCAAGGATGAAAGTCACGATGCACCAACATTTTTGTGAATTGTCTTAATACAAATATATAATTATATTATATATAAAGCAATGTCCATCAAAGTTATTTTATTCCTGATCCTCTTTTGTAATCCATCAACCAGATTATCTTACATGTACATGTATAATGATTCGAATGATCCAAAATTCAGATGACCATAATGACCGGTCATTTCGAGGTGACTTTGGGCCATTTGCAAAATGGGCAAATGAACTGCATCCCTGGCATGTCATGATGTATGACAAAAATTTTAGAAAATAAATACATGTACTTTTATTTACATGGTGTCTAGCCAACCCATACTCCCGACAACATCCCGAAAATCCCAACATCCCGACAATCCAACTTACCGTCAATCCAACTTCCCGACAGCCTAACAGCCCAACAATCTAATTCCGACGACCTAACATCCCGACATACCCAATTTCCCGTCAAACACAATCTCCAGACATAAACCAGAAATTAAACTAGCTTTTTCGGGAAATTGAGAGTTTAAATTTTGAGAAGTAGGATTCGGCTGATTAGGTTGTCGGGATGTTGTGAGAACATAAAATATCGATTTCAAACATTCCAATCAAAAAAGTTTTAATCGTTGTTGTTTGGTCTTATCCAACACGGCAGTTTAAAAAATAATTAGCAACAATATTCTTTGATTCTCTGCAAGTTTCAAATTCATCATATTTCTCCAAATAACGTTTGAGAATATTGCTACAACAAATTGTAACCACTGGTGAATTTTTTGAATTCCACAACTGAATTTTTAAATAACATCGTCGTCGTAGTATATTAGGAATTCTAAAAATTTTGAACAAGTTATCTAACAGAAAGATATCTTTTAAGATTCTTTGGAAGCCGATTACCTTTATATACATGTAATTAGAATAAAGCAAAGATTAAAGTTAAAAATGTCTTCACCGTTTCGTATCAATATGGAATTAATAATTTTTTCTATCGCTATATATTGGAATGATAAAGGCAAAGGCGTAATGTGTTTTTTAATACATTACACACAAAAATACGTAGAAATTATATATGTCTCGTCTTTTGCACATACGTAACATGGAGGTAGTTGCTCAAATTAATGTTTCAGTATGAAAAGCAAGTTCTAGCATCGTTCTGTAAGGCACGGTCAAATGGCATTTTATTCAATATTGAAATTTAATTTTTAACCATCCGAATGTGATATGCAATGCAACCACACGCCTTCTATCCGAAATGTCATCAACAATTCAGCAATAGCTTGAGTTTGCGATTACGATCTTTAAAGAATTACAAATAAAAATTGTGACACCCGAATATTGTAAAGTAACAAGCTTCGAATATTTAATCATTACAGATATCTGACCGCTTATTAGTTTATAAATCAATTAAATTATTCTATTATTCTATGCAAACATGCTAACACAACAAAGTATATATCGATGATAGTCCTAAATAATCTTCTAAAATAACATTTTTGATTACATTAATATAACATATTAAGAGTCTAAATAAAACCCGTCTTTCCCATTTCTAATAACTTTTTACCATCGATTTTTACCCACTCTGAAGAGTCAGCTGTACTTGCATCTGCAGTGCCTTGCGTGTTCAGTATTGCTCTACCAAGGTCCATTTGCCGAACAATCTGTTTAACTCTGGTTAATGAATTCGCATGCTTAGTAAGTGCTGCACATAGTATGAGTCCGATGATGACTAAATAATACTGCATGGCGAATCGCATGTCATAACACGTTTTATTTATCATAAATTGGGTGGGACCAGTGACCTTAGCTTCGCTAGTAGGGGATACCATATTAACAACGACATCAGTCCACTGGCGTTGGAACATACGATTTATGCCTTCTTCGCTTATGCCCTCTTCTTTCCATTGCTGCAGTAGAACCAGGTTTCCGATACCGTCTCCACGATAACCATAGATATCATTACCACTAAAATCTGATATTATATTCAACGCAATACCAGGGACACCAGCAGTTTGTGCATCAGAAGCAACATCCCAAGATAAGGACGATCCTGCTGACTATTATTGTTTACTAGTATGCTGTTGTTAGGAATGTTTTCTCCGGATTTGACTCCTCCCCACCAAGGATCCATATCAGAAATATTAAGATTAGCCTTTTCAATATACCATTGGGATGAAATGGTTTGTGTGTTCAATACACTAATTTGCTTTTGTTCATCAGATTGTAACTCAATAACCTTTACGCTAGCTTCAACCGCGCTAGCGCAGGCGTACAAGATTTGTTCGATTCCTCTTTCAGTAATTTTAGGTGGTCCAAATAATGCCCAGCACTTGACGCCAACAATATTATCTGCAACATTGTCTGCACCGCTAAACCCAGCGCATCTAATTTTCATATTAGATCCAAGTGTTGAATTGAAATTGAGTCCGAGGAAAGTGTCGAGTTGAAAAGTCTTGATAGTCTTTGGCGCATCGGTGAAGGCGGTGAGGTTATACACTGAAGACTCAAGAAAATTTCCATTGGTTGTCATATTCATTTGTTCTGTGATACTTGATTGTATTAACTGACTGTACTTGATACTTCTTGATGAGAGATCGATTTTTTGTCCTTGATCACCAAGCGGGTGTATATTTTGTGGTCGTAAGTCGGTATTGTTAATAACCATTTTTGCTATCCAGTTAGAAAATAGTGCATTCATCGTTTTATTATCCCATGCGATCTGTGTAAGGTTAGTTGATTGACAACTGACATACGGTTGTAGCCACATGCCTTCAATCGCCCAGTTGAATTTGTTGCCCACTTTGTCTCTAGGTTGAATCGCTTGATTCATCAAGAGCCCACCATTATCATGATCTACAATCATCCTGTCAATAATGTTATAACCCGTTTGCGTACTTGTAACAACACCCATCATAAAGTCGTAGCTAGGATATGAAATATTATCATTGATACTAGTCTTCAACAGACGATACCTCATTGCATTGTTACTGTATGTTTTATTAAAGTCAACTGCATATGGCTCATCGACATGCAACTGATCCTTCATTCCCGGACATGGTACCCATTCCCAAGCACCACATATCCTAATCTGCGATAGCTGATCCAGAGAAAACGTGTTATTAACCGCACGACTAAGTAAATCTGGATCTACAGCCTCCATATTAACAGACGCGTTATATACTACTGTACAAGTCTGGATACCAAGCGGTGCAATAACTGATACACCATACAACAATACCGGACATATCCCAATAAGTAAATAAATAATATTACGTTTGCGCGATCCGATATCCCATAACTTAATTCCTGTTAATGCCGGTTGACCACCTGTCCCATAAATATTAAGCAGACTTTGCTGAGTTACTTTGCTTAAAGTAGTCCACTCTAAGGCTGTCATTTTATCACTAATATTACTCAATATCACTGTGACTCCCGCCGCACCAATAACAATTGGTAGTAAAGTACTGATAGCACCAATTAGCGCTGCTAATTGACCCGCACTCAAATCGACTATCATCCTTATCGTTACTCGTCTATATTAGTTTGAAAGGCTATCGAATACCGAAATGGTTTTTTTCGCCTTTGTGACAGCGTTTGCCGTGTTTTGATAAAAGCAAGTGTACTCCTAACAAAAGAATCCGGCAGGTCATATCTCTTTATACTTTAAAATTAGCTGCTGAATTTGGATAACAATACAGCACTTAGTTTTTAATGAACGATGTGTAATTCATAACCAATAAAAATCCACCAATATGATTAAATTAGCGCCAACATTTAACCCGATATAGCTATTTCGAAAATTAAATTAAATTAATGTGGCACAATTTTACTGAAACTTTTCCATATATGGGTTAATACATGTATGTTACGGATAAAAGTTAGCGTTAACAGGATATAAACCGACCACTATATGTACTTCTTTGCTCAAACATGTACATGGAATATGCATTAGCGTTTGACCTTAAGATTTTACTGCGAATTCCTTTTCACGTTAACGAATACATTTTTAATTTTGATAGCACCGCATATTAATCAACAATTACATGTATCTCTCGAATTTTTTTGTTCATGTTTTTTTATTCTAGACGTCATTTTTGCTCGTAGAATTAAATTCCAGCTTAAATGTAATCCTGTGCTATCGACATAATAAAGAAAATTATTCTTAATTAGTGTATATCGAGTTCGATCATTCGTAATTCAATAAAAAATGTTCCTCTGATAAAACTGGGGTAATTTCATAACCAAGTAAAGCATAATATACATGTAGATTCAGAATAAATCTATTGTACACTGTTAATTATCTTCATGACCTAAAAAAATTCCTTTTATACAAGCTTCGAATTATACATTATATATACATATACATGTACAAATGATTCAAGTCTAAATTTAGACGTCGGTGTAAGTTTTTTTATATGATAAGTTTGCTTTTTGAACGTGATTTTTCTAAAAATTAGTCTGTTTAACTGATTATAAGCAATAGGAAATATATATAAGAAATATAATTACTTATTGCCTAGTAAATTGATTAAAAAATCTAATTTTTAAAAATTACACTCAAAAATATACAAATCTAATATATACACCGTTTCTGTGCAGTCAAAGGTAGTATCATATATGTACATGTAGATTTATTCATTTACAAGGACATTTTATTTCCAAAATTATGATTAAACTTGAGAACGCAAATATACGACATCTTAACAATCAACCTCATTAGATCAAAGTTTCCAGATTAACCACGTGTCACTAACGACTGCATAATGATAAAAAAATGAGTTAAAGAAAGAACGCTAAAAATTAATAAACTTTTCGAATGGATTTCCTTTTGAAAGATTTATCAATGGTGAATTTCTTGCAAAGGAGGTATTGAGACAATTTATAAAGTAACTTTGTTGGATGGATTATTATATAACCAAAATGAATTTAAAAGATATGTAGAAATAAAGGTACTAAAAGGAAAGCCATCCACTAACGCTGCAGACATTTATAGGTTATAATGACTATTTTTGGTCAACGAATTATGATATTAAAACTTTTTGTAATGACCTACGATGCAAAATAATGTTCACGGATTGTATAAATTTATATTTAAAAATGCTGGGATCTTATACCAGAAAACTGATCAACTGCTGAGGAGCTTTGAATCTTTATCGGGTCTATCGACTCTACTGAAGATATCATTCAATATAATAGAAAATTGAAACAGAATAAAAGATAAATCCCGGCAAAACAAATCCGATACAAGATACATGAATATTACATATTACATGTATGCTTAAATCTGTCTTTGAAAAATGTCGGGCTGGCAATTTTACATACAATCTTTCTCTGCCCTAACATTTACCCTTACCTTGACTTTATTGTCGGAATTGTGAACTGTCGGGATGTTGAATTGTCGGAATTATAAACTGTTGAGCTATATTATGTCGGGATTTTGAATATCGGACTGAATGGACGGTTCCCATTAGTTATAGAGAATGCGAACGACTTACAAGAAAAAAATCTAATTAACAAAAGAAATCGACAATATAATAAAAAGAATATATGAAAATCAGAAGGAATTTCCAATGAATTCCTTTTGAAAATTTACCAATATTGAATATCTTGTAAAGATATTTAGAAAACATCATTATACTGTTCTAAAGAAAATAATTTGAATGATCGTATGACGATGACGATAAACGCGATGTTGTGTTGAATTATGTAATCAAAGCAAATTATAAAGAGATAGAAGTTATACAATTTTGAAAGTATAAAAATGATATTTTTTTTGTTTTTTAATACAATTACATGTAAGTTATTCAAAAATAGATTCGAATGAAGTTTATTGATGGTGGAATAATTAAAACCCAACTATAAATGCATATTCAATATCGATATGCAGAGATACATGTGCTTTTAACAGTTTTCATTTATTTAAAATGACACTATGTAAGTTTCATCATCAGATAATTTCTCCTGAAACATATCTTTCGAGTAGGATTGTATACACGCCACCGAATCAAAATCCTGATGACCGTTACCAGCACTATAACGGGAATAACATACCACAGTATGCTACGGCATACCTGCTCGAACAAAAAAATGATAAACAGCTGCCACAGAATACCCGGAGTATCAATACGTTGCCTCCAGAAACAACTAAATTCTAGTACAGTCCCCGGCGAAAAGAATGGCGGTGGAAATGCCGTCTTCTTCTTTTGCAGTAGCGTCTCCATTTTTCCGATTTGGACCATTGTTTATATTACCAAATCGGGCACTGGAAGCTATTTTAAAAAACAGAATGTAAACAATGATATTTGATACTGTTTACATCTTGTTTTTGCACTTCGAAATGGCACCAACCTCCCTTGAAGTACAACGAAACGCCGTTAAGTCGCTTTGGCGGCAAAACATTCGAAATCCGAAGGAAATTTCCCAACGATTAGGGATTCCTCTACGCTCCTGTGAGCGGTATGTCAGTTTATTACGTAAAACTGGCAAAATTCCCGTAGGTCGCTCTTCCGGCCGCCCAAGAAAGTTGACCTTCGAAAAACGCCGCCATATAGGAAAAATTCTGAAACACAATCATTTCACTATGGCAGGCGAACTTAAAGCTAAGTTGGAAGAAAATGATTCTAAGCTTGAGGTCAGTGAACGTACTATACGTCATGAACTTGAGAACCTCTGTTTCATTTCGGTTCTTCCGAGAAAAGTCCCTCTTTTAACCCAGAAAGCGAAAGATAATCGCTTATATTGGGCACGTAAACATGCATGATACAACTGGCGAAAAGTTGTTTTTTTTGACGAAACAACTATCCAGATGTTTAATAATACCCTTTGCGCATGGTCTCGAAATGCAAAACCTATCGCACCCATGGTAAAGCATCCATACAAGGTTCACGTTTGGGTAGCGATCAGCGCAAAGAGAAAAATCGGAATGCATTAATTCACCGAAAACCTGGATCGCTATTTATACTGAAAGATACTAAAGGAATATTTGTATGATAATGCAGATGCGTTGCATGATCATAACTGGGTCTTCCAACAAGATAATGACTCGAAACACACTTCACGTGATGTTCAAAGTGATTTGGAAGACCACCTTCCAAAACGAGTCCTTCCCTGGCTTTTGTACAGCCCAGTCATGAATCCTATCAAGAATGTGTGGGCTGTATTGAAGAAAATGGTAGAGAGGAAGATTAAGGATATGGTAGCAAAAAATAAAAAAATCTTGCAAGAGATTTTTCTTGGTATAATTAGGCAGAAATAGGATGGTCTTGATAATAATGTTTTACTTTAATGCAATATTCCACTGTGTTTTAAAATAGTTGAAATGCAGTTTCATCTGTAAATAAAGTCTTCATCCAGTTATCATTGATGTGTTTTCTCACCTATTCCACACATTTTTCTTCATGTGCAATGATAAGTATAGGAGTCGCAACTGAAAGACTTTTTTCAAAGTCCATAATTGCCAAATGTCTTCCTATAGTTCTATATAAGACTTTAATACTTGTTTTTGATAATTTTGTAGCCAGAGTTCTCATCAAGAGAGAGAAATCCTAAAAAATATACTTCTTTAATTTGCAAGATGTTTCAGTTGTCATTTTTTGGGACCAGCGGTTATTATGTGCACATTTTGTTATACCAGTTTCTTTTAGTCATTTTAAATTGTCATATACAGTTAAGAAGGTTATGTTAGTCCTTTTTCAAATCTCCTTGGCATTCCTGATACTTAAATCCACAAGAATTCTATCATTTGGTGCTGGAACTCTCTCTTACTACTCATTTTTCATGTAAAGAAAAAAAATTTCTTTTTTTAATATCAGTATAAATAAATATATCACGGTTTAAGTCACAAATCTTAATTTATTTGTTATTTTAAAAAATTTGTATATCCATATATAAATAATATTAATCATACAAATTTTTTTCTGCAAAAATTTTTTCTGGTTTTCAATATCCTACACTGTATATAAAATATATAAAATATATAATATAGTATAAGATATTAAAGAATGATATTTGTAATAATTATATCTGTTATTATCAAGTTATAAGATTATTTTATTAATAATTATAAATAAGATAAAGTGTAAATAAATAATTTTAATTTATAAAACTTATAATTTTTATTATTTAAATAGTATTCAAATCTGAAATAAAAATACAAAATAGATAAAACTTATTTATAGTAAAAGAAATATATAAAAAATGAATAAATTAATAATAAATTCTATTTAAATATATGATTTAATAAAATTAATTAACTTAATTTATATCTTCAAAGAATAACTAATTGTAATTTAATAAATTAAGTATATGAATAATTATCTATATATTTAATATAAAAATAATCTTTAATAAAGTAATATAAAAGCTAATTTATTATATAGATAGTATAAAATAAAGATTAATTTAAAGAAAGAAAATTTAATTAAAATTATTATATTATTATTATATTTTTGTCAATATAAAAAATAAGCCAGATTTAATAAAGATTAAGTTTATATTATTAAAAATAATATTAAGTAATTTTATTACTTTATTATATATGAAATTATTTATTATATTACAGAAAAATATATTTATAAATTTTGATATAATTGTAACTATTTTAATTGAATTATCTTTCTTTTTGATTCTTTTAGTTTAGATCTTTATTTTGTATTATCTGTATTACAGATTAGCTTTGTATTATATTTTTAAGAAGATCAATTTCATTCTAAATATATAAATAAAATTATATATTTAATATATCTAGATTTAGGATATTATTATTTAGATAATTGCTATATGTATTACAATTATTAATCTAGATTATTAATATTTTTAATTACTATTATTAATATTTCTATTCATTTTTTTTATTTATTATTTATATTATTATTTATATTATTTATAATTATTAAATTATAATTAATTGCCTTCTAGAAATATAAATTAAGTTAATTAATTCTGTTCAATTCATATATATTTTAATTATAGATTTATTATTAATTTATTTATATTTTGTATTTATTTCTTTTTTTATAAATATAACTTATTTGTTCTATATTTTTAACTTCAGATCTGAATATTTTTAAATAATAAAAATAATTATAAACTATAAAATTAAAACTACTTATATCATATTTTATCTTGTTTATAACCATTAACAAAATAATCTTATAACTTGATAATAGCAGATATAATTATTATAAATATTATTCTCTAATATCTTATTACATATTACATATTATACATACTTTACTATATATATTTTAGTTTTTAATAAAATAATATTATCAAGATGAACTTAAAATAATTCACATAATTTATGAAAAGTATAACTAAATTGATCAAGACTATAAAAGAAGATAATTTCTCTGATTCTAAGCCTTTACCTCATCTCTTAGTAAAATTATCTATCTATTCTAAAGAATCATATGAAAATATACTTGTCTGGATAATGCAAGTTAAAATAATATTCCAGATCCAAGAAATTACTAATGAAAAAATTCAGATATAATATATCATTATCTCTTTAATAAATATAGTCTTACATTGATATCTCAATAAAGTTAAGACAAATAATAATATTTTACCTTTTGAAAATTGACAAGTATTTGTTATCACTCTTAAAAATATATTCTAATTATCATATTATTAACAATATCTTCATAAATAACTATATTTTCTTTATCAAACTAGTTTAGTACAAGATTATAGTATTAAATTCAGAAATATAATTAGTCAAATAACTGATATAAATGATCTAGATCAAGTTATATATTTTATAGAAAACCTTAAATTCATCACAAAAATAAAAGTTAGTTATCAAGTTCCAGAAACTTTAGAAAATGCTTGGAAATTAGTTATTTACTTTGATATAGCTATGTATAGTATGTAATAAAAATAATGATAGTGACAAAAAGTTATATATCTTGACAATTACAAGAGATAATTAATTAAAATTTGATTTATTTAAAAGTTTATAAAATACTTTATAAAAAATAGATATGAATTAATTTTAGAAAATAATGATAATAGAATTGAATATTAAATTTTTTATTTAATAAAGTTAATTAAATTTTTGATTATTTCTTAAGAAATTTTTTCTTATTTCTCAATCATAAATTATTTTAACTTAACATTTTATGATATATACTTTTCAATATTATTTTTTATAATATTCTATACATTTTCAATAGAATTTAAGTCAGAACTGTTAGATAGTTACTTTATAATCTGAATTTTATTTTGAATAAAAAATTTCTTTGTCATATATGAAGTGTATTTAAAATTATTATTCTATTACAAATATCAACTCTATTATATAAGTTTTTTATAATAGATAGAAATTATATTTGCAAAATATTTATATAATAAGGATTATTTATTATATTGGTAAAATAAAATAAAGATGTTCTATCTTTTTGTAATAATATTAGATTAGTTATTAATAATTATATTATATTTATCTTTTATCTTGCAGATCATTGCTACACCATATGCTGTGCCACACATGACTTACTGCGCCACAATCATCTGATCATACCAAGAAAAGTTACCTAATTATTTTGAGTTATTTTAGCTATAGATAGTTTCTTAGTAAAATTTCTCTTTTCTCTTATTTTACTAATTTAGCTAGCATATTACTATATTTATATATTTTATTTATAATCATTTATTTCTTTATTTATTCATGAATAAGCATCTTCTGGAGGTACTACCATATAAGTATTTTCTATTATTAATTTATTTATCTTATTATTAATTTTATGTAACATTAATTTATTATTTAAAGATGCTGTATCTGTTCTGTAATTTTAATAAGTTAATAAGTAATGAATAAAGAATAAGTTTTAAACATAATCTCTTGTCTGCTTTTGATTTAGTTTTTTGTGTGAATTCTATTTCAAATAACATTACTTATATCTTGAATCTTCTGTATGAATTTTTCTGATATAAAACTATATTCTGATTTTTCTAAGTGAATTATCCAAATATATCACCTTATGTAATAAAAAGATTATAATATTAATACTAAAACTTTAATAAAATAATAGAACTTGTAATTAGTATTAATAAATATAAAAAAATAAAACTTATATATTTTTTCTAATATTATTTTATAATTAATTTGTTTTATAACTAATTAAATTTTAAAATAATAATAATAATATATATTTATTTTATAAAATTTATATATTTTAAATAAATTTTCTTATTTTTAATTAAACTTATAGTAATATTTTATTGATATATTAAAGTGAAATTAATATTAAACTTTTTAATAATAAATTTATAGAAACTTTAAAATTTAATTCTTAAAAATTTTCTTTTAATAATAATAAATAATATAATTTTATCTCAAAGAATTATAAATTAATATTTTTAATTCAATAAAAAAAGAATATTATGAATATAATTATTCAAGAAATATATATTTTTAAAGAAAATTTTTTTATTATCAATTCTAAATATAATAATAATATAATAATTTAAAATAGACTTGTAAATATAATTCACTTATAAAGATAAATTTATTATATTATATAATATAATCAGATTTTTTCACTATATAATTATATTTATAATTATTCTTTTTTAATTATTAATTAATTATAATTAAAAATTTTTTTAATTTTACTTTTCAAATATATTGATTATAGAGAGATATAACTATTAAAGAAAATCATTAAAAAATAATTAAAAGAGACTTTTTATATATTTTTTCATCTGAATCTTGTTTTATATATAATAATAACAAAGTAATTATATATTGAGAAGAAAATTTATCTTGGTATTGAAAAATCAAAGTGTATCAATAATTTCAAATCTAACTAAAAAAATCTATTCAAGTTATAAATAAATTTAAGTCAGTGAATATATATTATCTAACAAGTTATTAGTATTTACAAGTATCTGATTTATAAAAAAGAAGTTTCACCAGTATTTTTTAATCAACTTAAAATAACTTTGCAATCTCTTGTTTAAACCAAGATCAAATGACAACTTCTGATATAACTAATAATTTAACATGTAGTCTTGAAGGATTTATTGAAGAGATTGAAGATTTTTTTGAGAAGAGTGATGTTTCACTTGATGAATTATTTGATATATCCAAAAGAGCGCTCATTATTTTGGAAAAACAAAAATTGGTTGGCAATAACGAATTGGATATTACTATAAAAATTATCAAAGAACGAGGAAAATGCCATTGATCTCAAAGGATCACAATACTACTTGTTATTTTTTAGAAAAATAATTACATTTATAATATACATTCTATAAACCGAAAAATTATGATACTACATGTATATTGATGTATAACTGGTATTACGAATTACTAATTGTATATTCTTGTTTATTCATGGTTTATATTTAGCAAGCGAAAATGTTATTTGTTTGTTCATAATTTACATTGTACATGAATAATGTTCCTTAAACGGCGAAATTTTTTGTTGTACTTACAGAACCCTTATTATACACTATAAATCGGGAGCAATAAAAGGGGCTTTGTTTTATTTTATTACACTATCGCCATACACAAACGCGAATAATGTTTTAGTATAGCGGTATGTTACAAAGTTTACCCCCGATATCCAAATCCAAATTCACGATCATGTGCCCGTGAATTTACCTTGGAAGTCTTTTTCTTTGTTACATATGACACGTTCATGAATGTGAATGCAATGCGTGTAGATTTTACTCGAACCCCTGAAGATCATGAGTTAATATCTTGTTTTAAGCAGGTTTGGTTAATGACTTATAATTTTGAATTGTTCTATTAATGTCAATGATATTCGAAGAATTTACCCTTTAATCTATAACAGTCGTTTTTGAAGTTGGTGATTTTTATTCAAAAGATTTATACAATATATTATTGAAATAAAAAGAAAATTTTCAAAATAACTTTGATTAATATATGGCGAACGAACGGATAATTCTTAATGTTGGTGGGCATAAGGTTAGAATTTTCTCTAAATAATTTTAATATACTGTCACTATTTTAACATCAAACGATTAAAAAAATTTAGTATGAGACCTATCGATCAACTTTAACTGCTTATCCAAATACTTTCCTCGGAACAATGTTTGCTGAGCGCAACCAAACATTACTTCATCCTTCTGCAAATAATGAATACTTTTTCGATCGTAATGGTCGAGCATTTCATTTTATCTTAGAATATTATCGCACCGGCTCCATTCTTTGGTCTCCATCATCATTAATAACTCAAGCTGAGCTTGAAAAAGAGCTCGATTTCTGGCAAATCTCAACATCATCTTCATCACTATTTCCATCGTCATCGTTCTCGCACACTCTTAAAGATTCCGCAAAATTAGTGCAAGATTTCTTAGAGATGTTGCGTATATTAATTAAAGTGCCACATCGATATCTGCGAACAAAAGTAAATTTGGTATTTCCCTTGTTCAATTCCGAATTGTTTTCTGTTGAACCAGGATTCGAAGATTTCATAAAGTTAGTGGAACCTTTTAAGCACATTGGATACCCGATTTCGAGAGAATGTGGTAAAGTGTTGGCGCAAAATCTTATGAATGAAATTAAAGGTTTGAGATGTGAGATTTCTGCGGAGGGGAGTAATCCAAATGACTGGAGATACCGATGGGAATTCATTATCCCTTTGCCGTATTCTTTTGATCAAATTTTATCAAACGTAAACTTCAAACCCTCTAGTTAATAATGCTTCAGAAACATCAAAGAACAATATCAATACATGTAAATAAATCACGTTATTTCAAACCATCTTTATAATTATTTTTGACCTTTAAATTCGGGCCAAAATAATATCTCATCTATAATACTGATTAATTAAATTAACTAATCATTTTTTAATTTCATATAATATCTCTTTATTACACAGTTACCTATCTATTTTATTTTACAAATGTTCAATAAGATTAAATTCAAAGATTAGATGAATCAATTAAGAATATTATAAGTCAGATTAAATGACTAGTATTTTACATTTGGGATTATTGTTACATTAAAATACAACTTCAGATTATCAAAATTATAATTATTAGATAGAATTTATCTATAAAGATTTATATTATTATCAATTATGCAGAGATTTTTAATATTATTTCAAGTAAATATTTTTATATTATTATTTTTATAATTAAATTTCACTGTTATCTTTACAAATATATTTTCTTAATATCTTATCTTCATATTAATAATAATATTTCTTATTATCTAATTTAAATAACTTAAATTTGCTCTTATCTAACCAGATTAATGATGGCTTCTCAACTATTGCAACATGATGACAAATATAAATTTTGGAGTTGCAACATGTTGTAACAGGTAATAAATAAATATCACATACTTACAGCACCATCTCTAAACCAGATTATCTTTTTTTAGCCATTAATAAATCAATTTTAATAGATTTTATGCTTCAAAATCATATTTATTAAATATATTAATATTATATTATGTTATTCTTTTAATTTTTAATATTTTTTTCATGTTTATAATTATTATATAGTATTTATTTATAATATAATAAATAATTTAGTTTTTTTAATTCTTAGTAACTATAGATATTCTGATTTTTATTTTTATAAAAAGTGAAATTATTATATATTTTGATAAATTTTGATTATTATTAACTGATCAACTTATTTTTTTAATAATTATCTGAATTAAATAATCTTTTTAAACTAGTATATAAATATATATATATATATAGTAACTATCAAAAGTAATACAATACTTAAATTTTTATTAATTATAATTAGTAAAATATGTGAGTTTCCTTATATATAAAAGTGTTTAATTTTATAATTAATAATTAATAAAAATTAATTGACTTTGTATGTAATTAGAAAAAGTTACCAGTAAAAAATCTGAAAAATCTGAAAAAAATATATATTAAATTAGAGAACTTTAGCTATTTTTTGAGATAAAAATAAAAAATATTTATTAGTAAAATTAAAAACTTTTATGTATAAGAAAAATTACATATTTTATTAATTATAAAAAATAATAATATATTAATATTTATATTATAAATAATTATAAATATAATTTTGAAAAAATGAATTTTTATAAAATAAAAAAATGAAATATAAAAAAAACAAATAATATATTAATATTTATATTATTAATAATTTTAAATATAATTTTAAAAAAATAAATTTTTTAATAAAATATATATTTATATTTATATAAAAAATTAATTATTAAAATAATAAAATTATAAATTATAAAATTGAAATAAATTATAATTTAATAATTAAGTTAAGATTTTTTTAAATAAATCTTATTTTAATAAATAATAAATATAATATTAAAAGTATATAATAATTTATTATAACTAATTTATTATTTTAATTTAAAATTATAATTAAAAAATAATTTAATAATTAAGTTAAGATTTTTTAGATAAGCATTACTTTAATAAATAATATATATAATATTAAAAGTTTATAATAATTATATTAGTAACTAATTTATTATTTTAATTTAAATAATCTTATTAAAAATAATTTATAATTATATTAGCTATTATATATATTTTTTGATTAATTAAAAAAATTTATATAAAATTTATAATTATTAAAATATATAATTTATAATAAATAAGAGCTTAATATTAAATATTAAATATTTAGAATTTACTTTTAAAAGTAATTAATATTTAATAATAATAATAATTTGAAGTTGTTTTAAAATAAAAAATCTATTATATTTCGAAATAAATATAGAAAAATCAATAAAAATACTTAATTTAGAGAATTATTTTTTATTTTTCATTATATAATAAAAAAAAAATAGTAATAACATAATAATTTGCAATTATGATAATAAAATATTTTATAATAAAAAGTATAAAATTAATAAATTAATTAATAGCTTGATTTTAAATATTAATATTTAATATAAACTCTTTCAGATTTTTAGATTTTTCTGAAAGATTCTTTATAATTAAATTTCAATTTTAATTCAAAAAGTTTGCAATTAGAATAACATTTAAAAAAATATATTTAAATTACAAATTATTTAAAATTTATAATAATAACAAAGCAAATAATAAATTATTTAAATTCAAAAATCTTAGAGATAGTCTAATACTCTAATTAATAAATTTTTTTGAAAATTATATTGAAAATGTAAATACTATTGCCATTTGTAAGTATATTAAATTCATTTTTACACACTAATAAAATATTATAAAATGTTATTATTTAATTATAGATTATTATTTAAATATTATCAACTGTATATTAAAATAATTTCTAAAGTAAAATATGTAATAAAATTGTTATATAATATTTGTATCCAAAATTAACAATTCTTTCAATAATATATTCAAAATGATATTTAAGAAATAAAATTTAAATTAAATGATTGTTGACTTTAGCAATACAACAAACAGTTCTGACTTGAATCCAATAGAGGAGTCCAGAAACTAGCAACGATGTTATGGACTTACTATTGAAAATAATGTCATTTAGCTATTAAACGAACTATTTTTGGTATTGTTTAACTTTTTGTAACATATTAATATTAATGGCGTTTTTATCGGAGCTAGAAGTAAATAAATCCACGTGGTTCACTTCTGTTACATAAAAAGAATATTATCGTAGTTTTATATTCTGTACTAAGAATAAAATATTATACAAAATGACCTAGAATATTAAAACTCAGAAAGTAATAACATATGCTGTATTCATGACCGTCCTGTATAATCCGTATCTTGCAGCTTGAGAAATATCATGCAAGTACGTGAACGAAAATTATTTGCCCGAACAGTTGACTAGTTAAATGGGTGGTTTAATCCGAGGGCTACGGCGCATTATATTTACTGTATTAATTCATATAAAAATTTCGGACAAACTTCATAATTAAAATCAATAAAATTTTCTGTAGAATATTACAGACCCCTAACAGAATATTGTGGATGCTTTTAAATTAAATATCAAGCTAAATAAGCAAAATATTAAAATAAAAATAAAATTTCATACTGTAGTTCTTGAAAATCTTTAGTTTTCAAACAAAAAAGAGAATAAAAATTCCATACAATAGTTTTTGAGTTTATAATTTTTTCACCAAACCGAAAATCATAAGAAAAAATACATGTATTCTGATATAAAGAAAATATGTAATATCTCGATACCCATTGAACGAGATCATACATTAAACGTGCACGACTTTACGTGAGTTATTTACACGTCTAGCAATTTTGTGTGATACTGATACATGGTAATATACATGACATGTACTCTTAACTTTTCTCGAAAACTACCGTATGAAGTTTTTATTCTCTTTTTCGTTTGAAACCTAAAGATTTTCAAGAACTACTGTATGAAATTTTATTTTTATTTTAATATTTTGCTTATTTAACTTGATATTTAAAATTTAGGTGCTGCTAGGATTTATGTCATGTAGAAAATTTGTCGCGAGAACAACATAGTGCACAACTCCAAATGCCACAAACGGCTCCGCAAGCAACAACCCAGATAGCCAGACCCATCACACAACCAACGCAAATTAGAATCCAAGACGTATGGGCCGCTTCATATAATGCATGATCGTGGATTTCGCAATCGCTTGCTTTAGAAAGCCAATTATGACCTATAAAAGCCCAAACTATCGGGAATATTGGCACTAAATCTCCTGAGCAAAAGCTAACTAGGGCACCAATAATGAAAACGCGAAGGTAATAACCACCATTGCAAGTTTCCCACCTTTCTGCACCTCCTACGGGATAATTACTGATCGAATTAGATGTAACCACTATGCCATAGATGGAAGGGGTAAGTATAGCCGCCGTTATGACTGTGACGATTAGACAAACTCCACACGCACCGCAACACCAGACCAATGGATTATCACTACGAGGCATAGCTTTGAATTAAGTTTGCGCTTTACTTCTGTCAAACTTGTCGATAAACTTGTTGATAAACTTGTATAATAAAACAATTCTACGTTGTGCACAATTCTTCTCCAAACAATAACTACTCAAAAAACCCTTCGTAAAAATTCACAATCGTAATAATTTAGTGTTCTTTGTACTAGAAAAGACAACGGATTGTTCTGGGTAACGCATCAATTGATTGATAAATTAAGAGATAAAGAGGATGTAAAGCTTTTCCCTGATTTACCCACATTGATTTATTGTTTACGATGGTGCGAATTTCATGGGAATGGATTACTATTGTTGATAGAGAAATGTACATCTATCGTTATTTATTATTATTATGTATTATGAGAATAACATGTGTAAGCAATATAATATCGTATTATTACAAACAATCTAACCCATATTGATAATCGATTAACTACAAATTTTTAGATTTGTTCTTTTTACTTGACCCGAAACTCATGTTCCATATACATGTAACAAAAATCAGTTTAACCTTAGAAGTGATTTGTATAGATTAAATATGTTTAATTCGCGAGGGAATCTTATATCGATATATTTTTTTTCATCATCTGATTATAACACACGTCTTCAACCTCTTACATTTCTGGAATATAGTCAAGAATATAAAAAAGAAGCATTTTATGATCGATTAGTGCGATAAAATTTATGACGGTGGTGTGAGATAATTATTAAAAAAGTATTCCTTACATGTATATAATTAGTTAGTTACTCGTGTTTAAACTAGCTGTTTTAGAAATTATTTGTATACAACACTTTTTTCCCATGTACATGAACATTCTATCTTCGATTGTCGAACTTTCATTAGATCGTCAGCTGTTTCTTGCCATAATTTTTGGAATTAGAGAAATTATCGAAATAATGGTCACTCTTTTGTTGCAAAATTTTGAATTTATTATATCGACGACGATAAAAAAATTCAAATATACAATAATAGCAATAATCAATGTTTAATGTTAACACACAATCCATACATGAATTATAATATCTGCATCAGAAGTTGACACAACGTTTTATATTAAAAATTGCATGAAATACCGAACAAGATTAAAACTTAAGAAAATATGAATTGAGAGTATTTTAAGATTTTTCGATCTATATAAAAATTATATACCCTCAGCAATAGTTGAAGATGGTGTTTCTTCTAGATTATTAATTTGTAAATATGCTTTTACATTCGTATTTAGGTCTTTAAGAAAATGAAAAATATGTACGATTTCTATTTTTTCACAATTTGTATGAGTTTGACATAATTCCTGTTTTAATCTACAAATTATGATGATATTATAGGACTTTGTTCTTTAAATAAGAATTTTGTCATTAAAAACTTTTATTAGTGTATTAAATCATATCAACACTTCTGCGAAGTGTTGATATGAATGTTTTGGCGGTAAATAATGAACCCAAATATTTCATACCATACTGGAATTTGTATTCCAAACATTCAAATATTCTTTGATATACATTAATGCCGTGAGGGTATACTTGTACATGTATATACTTGATACATGAAACACTTGATTATTGTTACCTAAAGGGGATAAACAAGTAATTAATTTTGTGATATCAAAGTTGACACTAAACGAAATCCCGAATGAACAGCATCCAAATGCTCGAAATTCTGAAAGTACAGCATTGCTACGATAATCATTGGATATTTCACAAGGTTAATTTAAAAAAAATCCCTTTAAATACTTCACATATTTAATTTGATTACAATTAAAAAAGTATATTTAAGTCTAGAGTTTATTCAACTTAAAAAAAATTTTATATTACCGAGTTCCGCTATTTTTAAACCATATTTCATTGTATAGGCGTCAAGACAATGAGAAGTGTAATGGTGATGGAAAGATGCTCAATTTTAACAAAGAGTAATTGCGTATTTATTAAATTAACTTTTTATTTTATTAATAGTGTTCCATTTTACAGCAGTTGGTTAATTCGTTATTCATATTTAGTTGAATCTACAAATTAATGCTGCCAATTCTTACACCACAGAAGGTACTAGAAGGATTTTATTATTATTATTTTTACTTTCCTATTTCTCTTCACGAAATGTTTAATAAAAAAGGATTTCAGTTAATAAATTCCCATCAAAATGAATCCATTAATTTTTATAATTAAGATGTAAGTTAATTATTTGAAACTACTTTAATGCGAATAGGATGAATTGTCTTTTATACAAGTCATCATCGTTTTATTTTTCTCTTATAATCATATACTCCATCACATCATCATTCCCCCTATGAAACACGTGTTTTATTAATAATGTACGCTACTTTTCTAAAGCTGTTGGATTTAGAAAAATGGAGCGCAACCCAATGGTGGGGGAGCTTGAATTGAATGATTTACAAGAAGGAGCCGTTCTAAAGATCGCCTGTGGTAGATTTTACGAAAACTACTATTTAAGATGATGAAAGGGGCTTAAAGCAATGTGTTCGAGGGGGTTTTTGTGAAGATCTAATGATTCAAAAATTCTAACAGAATACGGGTAGTTTCTGCTCACTACCAACAAGATTCAAAGAGGAGTTGGACTTATTGACGCGGCGAACAAAATATTAACCAAAATAAAGCATGAAGCAAATTCAACAAGACAATAAACAAATCAAATGAAACGCAAAATTGGACTTATCCTATGCCAACAAACAAAAAGATTAAAAGCAAATATGATTATTTAGATTAAGTTCATCCACTATCAATTTATATTATACACAAAAGAAATAAAAGTCACTTGTACGCAAGATTTAAAGGTGAGTAACAACAATAAGATATTTTGTAAGCGAAAGAATTTTTTAATATATTTATTTTGTTTTTGTTATTATTAGGAGGCCATTTATATACAGGTGCCGCCCAAAATTTTGACACCCAAAATCCAGAAATGCCAACATCCCGAATATCCAAAATCCCGAAATGCCAACATCCCGAATCCCCAAAATCCCGAATGCTCAAAAACCAAAATGTCCATACGAAGGCTATTATTAATTTTCATTGATTCTTTTATTCATTATTTTTGGTTCTTTGGTGTAAAATAGATTTCGATTTAAGTACACCATATGAAATCGAATATATCGAGTTACTTGCAAGAAAAAGAAAAATAACGTTTAATTTCTTTGTGTTTACGCGTTTTATTATTTCAAAAATTACTTTTATCAAATTATAAATTATAAAAAAAATAAATGTTAGTCGCGTTGTCATTTAAATTTATTACTCTTGGGTATAGTCAATGTTTTATCTAAATTTCATTTGTAGACTGAAGTCACGTCAATCTCATGCGTGAATCTTTAAGTGAAAACATTTAAAAACTCTGTAACTTTCGAAAAAGCCGATGATCATAAAACTTTATTGTTATATAACATAATGAAACATGTAAACTTACAAATTTCACCCTTTACAATCGTTATGATAGTGATAATCATTTATCATTTATTACGTATATATACTTTTTACATGTGTTTTATTATTCGGGATGTTGGATTTTAGGCGTCGAGTTTTTGACGTTCGGGATTTTAGATTTTACAAGAGTTACTAAATTACACGGCGTCAGATAATAGTTATTACGAAGGATATTATTACGAGGTGTGGGATATTAGTTATCGCGAAGTCTATTATTGCTATTGTTTTAAATATTTTGTTAATTATGAATTTATTGTTACTATGGTAACAATAACTCGTGTATTGTTACCGAAGTAACCATAAATCTCGTAATTCCTTTATTTCTTCCCAATGTGGAAATCACGACTATGTTTGGAATAGTCAACATTTTTACGATAATTTTAACGCTATAGCATAACGATAATGACAAAAATAATTATTCGACACTTTGAGAATCTTAACAATCAGAATTTAACAATAACCGCAATAATAACTCGCATGACAAATGATGTCTCAAACTCTATAGAATCATCAGTATCTGACTCCAATACCAAGTGGCAACAGCTATCGCAACAGTTCACTTTGTGACCATCGTTATTATAATAATTAGACAATTCACTTTGCGACTACAGCGATTTACAGTCAACAATTAGACACCTGATATCAATATCGTTAAAATTAGGCAAGAATCTGGAATTCTTCCACCAGAATCGTTTTAATTTTTGATTTTCGCTTTTCTAAGAGTTTCTTCCTTCTTATATACAAACAAGATGGATATTCCAAATGATAATAGACTTGGATGAATAAAATTTTTATTAAGTAAGTCAGATAATTACTTTTTCAGTTTACATTTTAATTAATTTTGTAACTTCATGAGAAATTGTTATTTCTTAATGCTCTTCTTTTATTGCAGTATAAAATTACAAATACTGTAATTCAGTATCAGACAGAAGTTCTGCAAATTGTTAATGAGAAATATATATAAATTACAACTTAATATAAGTTTTTCATTACTAGCAATGACTTTGATTACTTTATTACTATAGTAAATATTATGAAATTACTATTTCAGTTGATAGTAGAAATGATATAATAAAGCTATAATTTATCAAGTATAAGATTATAATATTAAATATTAAAAATTTATATGCTAATATCAAATATATAATAGTTATCAGTTTCAATTTATTAATATTAACAAATAGATTTACTTTTTTTCTGCAATTATCAGTAAGCTTAACAGTTATAAAATTTATAATATAAGTTTATAATTAATTTTTCTGAACATAGATTTTATTAATAAAGTTATAAAACACTTCACTATCAAGCAAGATTCAGACAGACTTTTCATTTACCTAATTATTAAATTTCAAAAGCTTTTTATAATTATAAATAAGCAAACTTGAAATTATTATTTTGTATAATACTAATAGTACTAGAATTATTTTTAATATTATTTATCTTGACTTTTTCTATCAACTGACAGTTTTTTATAAAGTAATCTGGTTTATTATAATTATAATAATTATAATTATTAATATTATTAATATTATTTCTTTTTTAATTATTATTATTACTCAACTAATATA